GCAACGCAAGTCCCGCGCCCGACTGCCCATTCGCCGAGGTTCCCGGCATTTCGGTTGAATGCGATCAGTCCGCCACGAGGCGTGTTTCTTCGATGTCCTCGGTCGATGGTCTTGCAGGCATGCTCGCCACCCGATTGTCCTGCCCGACTTTCACGACCCACAACCCCTGTGACCTGTCACACTCCACGACCACTACATCGCTGCACGCCCTGGAGTCTGCCACGACCACGGACATTGTACGCCCGCTATTAGCCCCGTGATTCTGAAGGCTTCAACGTTGACGATGTCCTGAGGCGACATTCTATCGACCTCAGCGCTCTGCGCGTCCTCACATCAGTCACTAACATCACCCTTGATGTATACCGCCAAAGGAATTCGTTTCATTGCACCTCACCAGCCACGGTTGAACGTGCGCGATGCTGCAACCATCACCGAAACTCTCAAGGACCACCCATCTGGCTCACCATAGGTAAAGCAGACCACGTATGCCCTACCAGACACGCCAGCAGACGACTCACAAGCCACCCCGCACACATTCTTTTCTGCCCCTACTAAACATCAGAGTACAGCTGACGCGTCTTCCACTCCATTAAGACCTGAGCGGCATCACACTACGACTGCTCATGCCTCGTCCATCTACCACACACTATTTGCGGCTCGCCCACACACACGACAGGCAAGACAACAACAGCCAGTAATCTGCCGTCAGCAAGAATGTTACCAGCACCGTCGACAAGCCACCTGCATCGCCCACCAGTCTCGTCGACGTTTGCGCCGACGCAATGCTAAACCAGCTGGCCTGGACATGCTATGCAAACTCACCACTCTGTTTTTACGATATCTTGACCGAAGTGTGCCCAAGCATCGCCAACAGCACGAGAGCTTGTGTGTGTGTCAACTTCTCGGCCCACGGCTCACTGCGTGATTTCTCGGCCCACGGCTCATTTCCACTCTATCCGTTTCGCTCGCTCCTTCCAACAGTGTGCTCTCGTCATGACCCTCGTCCGCTGCGCCATTCCCAGTGCCGCCCACTAGAGACCCTCTGGTTTTCCATGGCCTACCCACGTTGACAACCTGGCCCAAGAGACACCTTAAGGATTGTCGTTCATGTATATATAGTATTTTTCGCCCTCGTTCTTTTCTCATATACCTTCAAATCGCGCAAAGTGCTAGGGGGGAGGGCTGTAGGGCCATCATTATAATCATCATTTCTAGACCACCACGCCGCGCCTCTAGCGCAGCTGATTCTAGCTCGAGCTGTGCGAGAACAGAACGAGCTCACGCGCCTGGCGTGAACGTTGGACGCTGGCAGCCGCCGCGGCTCCACTTCAGGCCTGGAATAAAGTGGCGAGTTTGGCACGGCCACGTCGGCCACCTTCGACGTCGTCTCACGTCTTTCCATACTCTTGCTCGCAACATGGTCATGAATGTGGTCTCGAGTACAAATTAAGTGAGCTCCGGGAATGTGCGGTGCTGGACTATGTTATGGGGACAACGCCAGAGGTGCTCATTAGTGCCTTCACTCTGGAACCTAGGAGAAGCTTTGGCGTTAGTCCTGATCATGGAAGAGAACTGTCATCAAGGACGACGTGCAAAAATATGTCTTTGTATGGCGCAAGCACCAGTTGCTAAACTAGCAACGTGAAATTGTTGTCCCGAAGAAAGCCCTGCGTAGTTAGTTCCCTTTGTCGGTGTCTGTACTTTGCTATATGTCCATGGCGTAAACTTAGCACAGGTGAACAAGGTGTCGTAATAGTTTTAACTAACTAGATTGGGGTTTTTAATATTTTTACTACCGAATAATTAACGCAGAAGGTTCACATTTGCATGAAGGAGACGTGTTATAATAAATTGTTACGGTCTCCGTGAAATATTCAAATTAATTTATTTAATCATTTTGCTTGGTTAAGAGTTATCTGCTTATACTTCGTGGTTAATACATTTGCCGATTGAATGGCGTAGAGATTTGGGTTCAAAATTTCGCCTATATATGCAAACGTACATCGGTATAACTTAGGCTTAAAAAAGCACTGCTATAACTGCAGACAAGGCTGTTCTTAAAATTCTGTAGCATAATGTGGCATTCGGCGCATATGTAGACGCGCGATTCGATTGACTGATATGTGGGGTTTAACGTCCCAAAATCACCATATGAATATGAGAAACGCCGTAGTGGAGGGCTCCAGAAATTTCGACCACCTGGTGTTCTTTAACGTGCACCCAAATCTGAACAGACGGGCCTACAACATTTCCGCCTCCATCGGAAATGAAGCCACCGCGGCCGAGATGCGAACCCGCAAGCTGCGGGTCAGCAGCCATGTACGTTAGCCACTAGACCACCGAGACGCGTAATTCTCCCTTTATATATTTCTGTGGGTTCCAAAGTGATCAAACACACAAAAGCCTTATATACAACTTGAAGCAGCCAATGCTCAACTATAAATTGAAAGCGTCAAAGTGTGCTTTACTTTTTAAGCTAAGTTCGAGAAAACTTGCCAGTCGTTAAGTTCTACTCCATGAACATGTGACATTTATGTAAATGTGTTGTTTTCATGTTTTTATTTTCTATACACTCACTATGTGCGCGCTTCTCCATCTTAACCAGCCGTGACTCGCTATTATTTTTCAAGTATTTTTTCTCGTTAATATCCGATAGATATCGTGCCTCTTCGGGTGACACATGCTTTCTAGTACTTTCTTTTCATGATCAATTTTTATCTTTTTGTGCTCAACCACAGAGAAAGATATGCATGTGCAGTTCTTTTGCGTACAATTCTTTGGTGAACATAGCTACTACTATAGGCATTATTTCATTTTGAAATAATTATGATGAGAAGGATGTGATAGTGGGGCTCTTTTTCCTTTAGTAGATGAGAAACATGTTTAGTATGGCCACTGAAACAACCGATCTTGGACTACAAATAAAAGCATAACGATGGTAATTCACCAAGGAAATTAAACTTGCACATTTACTAATGTAACAAGCAATGATTCAGGTCACTCTTAACAACAACAGCAGCAGTAGCAACAACAACGACAACCAACAGACCCGTAAAGCCTTGTCAAGTAATCTGTTTTTATTGGAGCATGGCCAAGATCAGTATTCAAGAATATTGACGTATGGGGTACCTTGAGGCAGCACACGGGATGTATAGGGTGACATTAATCTATAGTGTGTGGTGGACCATGAGGTTATTTCACAGGTTTGTTAGACTTTTGTTTGCAGATAGAAAGAGAGAAAGAGAGGAATAAGGGAAACTACAGAAAGTTAGCAGGCAGCTAAACTTCTGTATAGTAATATCCTATATGAGGGGAAAGAGAGAAAGAAATAAAAAAAAGGAAGTGGTATAACAAAGGTCATGGAAATGACGCCTCATTAATCAAACAACTCTTTTATAGTGCTCAACATCATAATACAGCTGCTTGAGTAACATTCGCCATTTTTTACAGTTGGTGGATGAGGTCCCCCGAAGTAATGATATTCTACTTAGCCAATTTCGGTAACGCTGCGCCATTACTAAATACAGCTGCTAACAATTGAGACAGTAAGTATTGTGAAAAAAAATAATTATTAGCACCTAGTTCGTAATACGCAATGACCTAATCTTTTTTTTTTGAAGAACGTTTGGATGGACGCCTCGATGAATTGCTGTGTCCAGTTAATCAGCGAATCTGATAAACAAGGTATCGTTAGGATGAGTTGCGGCGGACAAAAATTGTGAGGGATGAAGCTGGTCGCTGCCAGTGGTGCAATCAACGCCTTAAATATATGGCTGCTGCGTGAACGAGGAGGACAAAAGCTAACAGTTATTCATGCATCGTAAGCCACGTGCGGTGTTTATTGCCTTTCGGGACGCTGGTGATGGCTATGAAAGACGTCTCGGACCGCGAGTGCACCTTTACCGTGTCTGCGGATGCGTTGTGAAGGTCATCGTTTTCAAAGAGCACCGTCGGCGGCCAGCTTCATTACTATTTTGCGTGTGCGTGTTTTCGTCTTTTCCATCCGGTGCTATTTGTGGAATCCTTACCCGCGCCCTTGGCCGAGTCGGTGGATCATTGTTATTATCACCGAGTCATCCACGGGAGCTTGAGCTAGACTTCTCGTTTGCTTCAATAATTGTCGACGTCGGGCATTTGGTGCTGCTGAAGGTTCAGGGACACGGGCTAGTTGACTCGCTGCGGCAATATTGCGGTAGAACACCGCTGTAAGGTGCCACGTGGTGTGCACTGGGTTAAGCACGCAAAACGTACCACATAAGCGCTTCTCTCTGGAGTTGTTAAACTCTGATTATTCCTTCAGCCGTCCAGTATAATATCAGATGAAGGCAATGATTCAGAGGCGAAACTTCATAAGCTCAAGGGGTGATGCAAGAACGTAAGAGTTCTAGCAGCTTGACCTGGGTGAACAGAATAAATAATTTGCTTCGAGGTAAAAACAACAAAAAACAAAAACAAGAAAACAATCTAAACCAAGGCAGACTGCCGCACGGATAACTGCGATTACTATCAGTTACTATAAGAGCTTTTCTTTACCACGCACTATGCAAAAATTCACTGATTCAGAACGTATATGTCAAACGTCACATCATGAAAAACTAAGACTTGGCCAAGTAAAACAAAACTTGAAAACTTTGCTGACCCGCAGGTCGCGGGTTCGAATCCCGGCTGTGGCGACTGCATATCCGATGGAGGCGGAAATGTTGTAGGCCCGTGTACTCAGATTTGGGTGCACGTTAAAGAACCCCAGGTGGTCAAAATTTCCGGAGCCCTCCACTACGGCGTGTCTCATAATCAAATGGTTGTTTTGGGACGTTAAACACCACATATCAATCAATCATTATCAAAACTTGAAAACTTGAAGGTTTCAAGTTCTTTAAAACCCTCAGTGCTTTAAAAGTGCTACGTGATAAGACCTTAAGTGCTTTAGAACACGCCTTTTATATCTACCACTCTCACCCCATAGTGCTCTTATCCTCATCCCTGCTATTCTGTTCCTACAGGTCATCGGGGTGGTGCCACCCTCTTGAAGCAGTAAAGTGAAGTAATTCATTATTACTGTGGCCTCTGTGATTAGCACCTGCAACGCGTGTTGCTCTGCGTCACTCTCAGTCAGCGTGACAGAAGTGCAGTTTTTTCAACGTCTTGACTTACTGCGAGGTGGTGACTTTAACCGCTGGTGACGTCCGCTTCGCTCGTAGGGTCCATTCAAACCAAAAATAGTTCTGCGAGGCTCGCCTGCCCCGTCCTTCGCTTATGCTCGCCCCCCCCCCCCCCCCAAATCGCTGTCCGACCTTAGCCCAAGTTCTGCGTCCCAATAACAACGCTCCTTTGACTATCACACTTGTTTCTCTTATTACTCTCTCATCGTTAACATCTACAGCTACCACATTGGTATGTTCAATTATTGTTTGTTGTTGGGATCGAGATGAACCACCAAGCGTTCACATGGATGCATCCATTTTATACATTGTGCAAGTTCTCTAATATCAATGTAGAGTAAACCTTCAACTACTTTTGTATATAAGATATAAGGACACATTTTTCTTTTGTGTTGTGTCGATTCATACGATGGAGAGATCAACCACTTCTTTTTCATTTCTTGAAGCATAAGTCACTTTGGAGTCGACCAACAGGGGGGGGGGGGGATGTGATGAATTCCGCTAATCGGAAACCCTGTAGATGCCTATGCTTATAGGGACCCCTCCTCTTTAGGGACACAGGAGTTTGAAAGATAAGAAAGTATAGAGAGAAGCAGAGGCTTTGAAGCCAATCTAAAATATCTTTCCACGCACGAACGTTTAATGCCGCGCCCTCGGAAGATGTGCAGTAACCAATATGTAGCCGCCATTGCAATAGCTAACGCCGTCAGGTTAGATTGACTACACATGCGTGCAGAAATGCCAAAAATATGGACGTCGGAACAGCCGCTGCCGTGACATAACTTATAGTGCAACGTACACGCAACATCGATGCTGTAATTTCATTTCAAGGTGGCGGGAAATCGTGTAGTCTCATTTTTTTTTCTTTGGCATTACATCCAGCTTTAAAGGACACTTGAAGTCTCTGACACTTCCCTGAGTAGCGATGTATGTGGTTATTGGCGAGCCTCCTCTCTTTTCCCCCTCCTCCGACCTCTCCGAGGCCGGCGCCGCGTCGGTATTGGCCAGATGCCGTCACGTGAGATCTCTCGCAATGTTCGTTTGTTTATATATATAGTCGCTCACAACTACCATCTTTGCTCTCGAGGCGCAGATTCCTTGGGGCACAGCGCATTTGTTTGGCGGATACGAAGTTGTCCTTCTGTGCGCCTTGTGCTGTGAAAAAATTCGGCAGATCCCACGTACGTGTTAATCGACGCTATGGGAAGCATGCGGAGGGAAGGTGACCGTGTTGCAATGTTTTTATTGAGTGACACGTCATGGAATGACGCTAAATATATGTACAAATGTTGCACGCACAGATATATGTTGAAAAGCTGCAGATGTTTATATAACCAGTTGTTTGCACTTCCGCAACGATGCGAACTGGAACATGCGTATTAGCAACACGATGATGCTCGCAAGGATGCTGGCCCTGGAAACCGCTACATAAGTCAACTGCAGCGCAAGGCAACTAACCACAATTGACGTTAACCCGGCGTGACGGCTTTATCAAAGGGTGCATATCTAATGTTTATTAAATTGGGTAGGCCGCACTGCAGCCACTATTGACGTTTCACGATGATTGGCGTCTATTTGAAAAGTAGTTCCGAGACTTGGCGTAGACACGTGGTGAAAGGCTTCATTGCCTCACCGAATGCTTGGGTTCAATTCCAGCTGGGACACCGACATTGATTCTTTGCATTCATCGGGTCGACGGTACCGATGTCGGGTATTTCTTAACGCTCACGGGTAAAATTGCCCATGTGTGTTCTCATCGTTCCTGGGTAGATACTAACTGTCAATCACCTGTGGCACATACACGCATACCAGCGGCACATACCCGCCAGTGGGTATGTGCCACTGTCTGGCGGAAAGTGTTTGACGACGTACGCGACGGCATTGTGACATTATTCATGCCTCGATAAGCGCGTCATATTTGTCAAACCACGTTACCCTCCTATGCCAGTTTTGGTTCACGTAAAGTTAAGGGGGTGACTACGAGAGCACCCAAACGTAAGTGGATAGATAGATAAATAGATAGATAGATAGATAGATAGATAGATAGATAGATAGATAGGTGCGCTCAAAGTTGCCGAAGTTCGCCAAGAAATGCTTCGCATTCAATACTTTTCACCCAAGAATGACGTCACTGTTCGTTGCTGTGGGCGGTTGTTGTGCCTTCTGATGCCAGAACACGTCTAGCGATGGCCGAAAGCTCTTCATGATACCACCCATTAAGCACAACGTGTTGTGATAAAAGACATGGTTGCCTGCGAAACTTCAGGCCAACATTTCCGAATCCACTTTGCGAAGTAAGTTGCGCGTCTGTCATTTTATCATGCGTATGCTTCGATGCCAGCTCTAACACCACAGACAAATCGCAGTGAATTGTGCAGTGCGTTACCGTTTCTCCTTCAGGTTTTATTAAAGCTCATGCGGGGGCGTTTTTGGTAACAAATACACGCTCACGTGTTCTGCTTGTAGTTATGCGCCGACTGTGTGAAGCCCTGTCGCGGTGGTCCAGTGGATAAGGTACTCGGCAGCTGACCACCGTGCTCTCATCCCATTATTGATTGATTTGTGGGGTTTAACGTCCCAAAACCACCATGACTCCGTAGTGGAGGGCTCCGGAAATTTCGACCACCTGGGGTTCTTTAACGTGCACCCAAATCTGAGTACACGGGCCTACACCATTTCCGCCTCCATCGGAAATGCAGCCGCCACAGCCGGGATTTGATCCCGCGACCTGCGGGTCAGCGGCCGAGTACCTTAGCCACTAGACCACCGTGGCGGGGCCTCATCCCATTATTCTCATCTTACAAATCATCGAATAATGGGATGAGGCCCCACCACGGTGGTCTAGTGGCTAAGGTACTCGGCTGCTGACCCGCAGGTTGCGGGTTCGATTCCCAGCTGCGGCGGCTGCATTTCCGATGGTGGCGGAAATGTAGTAGGCCCGTGTACTCAGATTTGGGTGCACGTTAAAGAACCCCAGGTGGTCAAAATTTCCGGAGCCCTCCACTACGGCGTCTCTCATAATCAAATGGTGGTTTTGGGACGTTAAACCCCACAAATCAATCAATCAAATCATCGGGGTGGTGCTGCCCTCTTGGAGCAGTAAAGTGAAGTAATTCTTCATTACGGTGGCCTCCCCGATTAGCACCTGATACGCGTGTTGCTATGCGGAATCAAATCTCGGATGTGGCGGCTGCATTTCTGATGGAGGCGAAAACGCTGTAGGTCCATGTGATGATTTAGGTGCATGTTAAAGGAGCCCTGCAACACTTTTTGAGCATGGTCAGAAAACGCTGCCGATTGGTTGTAGAGCCTCCAAGAACACGCGAGCCAAATAATATAGTGCAGCACATGGCCTAGAAATCACCATAAGTTATCAAAATCAACTAAAATTTGCTTTCTTTTTTGTCAAAAAATGGCGAAGGAAGCTCAAAAATCACCCGTAGAAGGCCATCTACCAGACTTCTACCAAACAGCCATTGGCTGATTTGAACATGGAACGCTCGGTCGTTACAGGGATTATCGCGATAGGCCGCGACGTGTCCACGCGTTCGCGCGCGATCACACTGAAAAGGCGCGTATTCGAAGAAAAAAAATTATCAAGGGCAAAAGGCACGCGGGACGTATTTTCTTTACTCATGCCATCCCCCGCCCCTCCCTTCTAAGCTTCCAGCGATTTCGCCGGGACGAGAGAAGAGAGAATTCGGTTGCAGCATGCGACAAGTCTTTGCAACTGCGCTCGTACTGCACAGATTCTTAAAATTTTTGCGGCGTTGAATTCGTAAGGCAATAACTTCTTTTAGTAAATTCATTTCATCGTTACTTGAAAAAGCGTTTCACGGCCCCTTTAAAGAAACCCAGGTGGTCGCAATTTCCGGAGCCCTTTACTATGACGTCCCTCTTTATCATATGGTGGTTGTGGGATGTTTAAACCCCACATAACAATCAATCAAACGACTGATGTGAGTTCACAGTACTGGTGTGTGCGCTTAGCTTGCATGCGAAAAGACAATCGAAATTGAGATTGCACAATTTAAGTGATTCCGCACTGCTGTTTTGAATAAACAAAACTGGAGTGCAGGAACTTACATTAAGATTGGCACTCTCCGTTGGTTCTTGGTGCGTGCTGTGAGCAAGTATTGCTGAGCAAATTGCTTTCTGAGGCTCTTTTACAGTGACCGATAAGTCGGAAGTCTTGCGATGCAAGGGCAGCTATGCAAAGCGTGCATGCCTTCGAATCGTTGGGTCCGTGCATCGTTAAGGAACCTCACACATATACGTATCGTTTTGCGTGATAGTTTAACTTGCTATTACGTTTGAAGGTTTATACCCACCACTGGAACTGTCATGAAGTAATGGCGTATGGTGACACGGCATTTACTTATTGAAATGCTGGCTTGTTCTTTCAGTGATATAGTTCATATGTCAGGTACGTTCACGAAGCGCACTTTCGAAATATTATTGGTGCGTCTAACCACTTGACGAAACAAGCACAGCTGTTCCGTCAAGTGGTTAGATGCACCAATAATATTCGACTATAAGTGATGTACGCCTTCTGACATATTGTTCAACTGAAAGCCTCAGATGCCTCTCCAAACGCTAAAATTGGCCGTCGATGACATCGCCGTTCCGCGTCGATAGCGTCAACGCATGTTGCTGCTTCCACTGCATGACATTCACTGTGAATGCTCTCTGCACATATTGTATACCATTTTTGGCACTAAACAGAGCTGTCATGAACTTACATTAAACTCATTTAGATGATTTTAGGATGAGTCAGTCTGCTGGCGCGAATGCTCTCAGCGCGCTGCTTGCCGAGCAAGCGCTCTCTTCGCGATAGGGCGTCGGCTATGCAGGAGCAAGGCAGGTGG